TCAGGCGGGATCTATGGGAGATAGGAGTTGGAGGAGACTGGATTTTGTTGGCCCAGGACAGGGTCCGGTGGAGGGCTTTGGTTAATTCGGTGATGAACCTTCGGGTTCGGTAAGCCATCTAGTTAGTTAGTTAGTTTTAAAGAGATTAATTAACCCCTTGCACACATCGTTTTAATTCTGTCTACTCGAATTGCTAATATGTCATACAGATTGGTGTCAAAGCTAAGACACACTGGTCATCCACCGAATGCGACCATTTTGAATACTTGAAGTAACAAGATCATTTGCTGTTACGTGTTTTTTAAGTTATATGTGAAGATATGTATGATATCGAACAAATTAAATGTAAAATCGCATAGAAGAAATATATTTATATGTGTTTTGATTTCTAGTGTGTCCTGACTTTTGCACAGTCCTGTTCATAAATTAATTAAAATATTAAAAATTATCTCTTCTGCACAACGTCTGTGTATGGTGCTGAATATCTTTTCCATTGAGCGAAACTACTTCGATTTTAATCCGATGAAATTTCTTCTTGTAAAATTTCATAAAATTTAGTTAAAGGTTGTACAATACCGTGTGGAAGTTTCCTTCCCGTTAATACAGATAAATTACTATGTATGTGTTTACCGACTTTTGGAACTTGTTGATTAGGCCTCCAGATCGAGAATTTATGCCAATAATTCTGGATTTTATAACACGTAAAATTAAAAATTTTAGAAAGTATTTCTGGTTTTCTACTTTTTTGATATAGAACTCCTACTAACAGTAGATCGCAAGACATAAATCTATAATTTATCCTCCATACAAATTTAGAAGTAATACAGCTTTTATCACATGAATTGTAGAAGAACTCGGTAAAAACACTGAAATAACTTTCTTAAGTCCAATGTTAATATCAAGATTTAAATTTCGAAATTAAGAATTCTACTCCTGAATTACGTCTTGTTCATTCACTTTCCGCAGTCGGGTTCAGGATTTCTCTCGAATCGTTAAGATCCTGTAGGATGCAGTAGGATGCAGAGTTGCTGAGTCCCAAGTACCACTGCGAACCTCTGTAGAGGGAGTTAGTGCCTTCACGTTCTAACTTGGGGCCATTGGCTGCAGATCCGGTTTCACGTCAGGCCTGAAAACCATTCTGTAGGAGAGAGAGACTACATTATTACTGTCTTAAAGCATGTAACATTTCGTAATAATTAATTAGTCTTTATTAGCTAAGGGCGTGTTCGGATTATATAATTAATTCCCGAACAGTCCCTTCCAACAGTAGGAAGGACTCTTCGAACGAAGTTGGTCAGGCACATAATCTGAATAATAACGCAATATGCTACAGTACTCTACATCCATGCTAAGAGCGGGATTCGAACCCATGATCCCACGGTCCTGACAGTCTTAAGTCTGTTATCACCAAAGTGAAACAAAATGAGTGTCCACGTTTTCTTCAGTCCCACCAGGCACATGCCGCGATAGTACGAGGCGCGTCCACAAAGTAAGTTTCCCACTCGTCCCACAGCTAGCAAACCTTTTATTGCGCGAAGCGACTGTGCGTACGTGATAGAGCAATGACGTAGCATGGCGCATGCACTAACGGTACTTCCCGCGTTCTCACAGTAGCATCGTTGCAGCTGT